TAAAGATTTACACCCTTGGAAACCCTGTACAGGGTCGCTATGGGTCGGAACCGACTCGATGGCACTTAACAACAACAACAACAAATATACGGGTATATTGTTGTTGTTAAGTGCTGTTGAGTCGGTTCTGACTCATAGCGACCCTGTATAGGGTCTCCAAGGAGCAGCTGGTGGATTTGAACTGCCGACCTTGTGGCTCACAGTCCAGTCCATACATACACATATATAGTGCAATACTATTCAACTATATAATGTATATAATATGCAATGCTATTCTGTGATAAAATATATATAATAATAAGTTGTGGTGTGGCGCTATACTCACAGCACTGTACTACCTACCACAAGGTCGGTAGTTCAAACACACCAGCTGCTCCTTGGAAACCCTATAGAAGGTTGCAGTGAGTCGGAAACAACTCAACAGAACTTAACAACAACAACAACATACAAGAATAGGAAGGACTGGTGGTGCAATGGTTAAGCACTTTAGAACCCAATATCAGCTCTGTGCAAGAGAAGACCCGGAAATCTGCTCCCATAAAAATTACAGCTAAGGAAATCCTGGAGGACAGTTTCACTCTATCTTATAGGGTTGCTCTGAGTTGGAATTGACTTGCTGGCAGGCACATGACAACATGTATAAGTGTCTTCAAGGTTTAGGAATGCTACAACATGAATGAACCTCGAAAACATTATGCCAACGGGTAAAAAAAAGTCACAGAAACCATATATCATATGATTCTCTTTGTATGAAATGTCCAGAACAGGCAAATCTGTGGTTGCAGAAAGTAGATTGATGGTTGCCAAGGGCTAGAGATAATGACCTTGGGGACAGTGTCATGGGTCACCACTAGGAAAGCCAGGTTTATGTGGGATTCTGATTCCGAATCTACTTTGAATGACTAGAAATACCACCTTCTACCGCTCTGGGTCACAGCTGGGCAAGGAAGAGCCTAGTTAAGATTCAGAGAGCAGTCATCTTTCCCCTCCAAACACATACTGACACACTTGTCTCCTGCCCTGACTTGGTTTTCTCCCAACCAAAGAGGTGGCTCTGTAGGATAAGCACTGGACTGCAAACCACAAGGTTGGTCAGTTGAACCCACCAGTGGCTCCGTGGGACAAAGATGAGGAAGATTTACAGCCTGAGAAACCCTCTACAGGGTCACTATGAGTCAGAACTGACTCGATGGCACTTGCCAACAACCAAGGATGCAATATAAATTACTGGTTGAATTTACCAACTGTCTCTCCCATAAGCATTATGTCCTTGAGGACAGGGACTTTGCCTGTTCTGTCCTCTGATGTGCCCTCAGTCGGTGTTCAGTGGCTGTTTGTTGCGTGTATCACAGGGATCTGTTCTCCAGGACTTACTTTTCCGAGAAGACGAGGCATTTCTGAGCGTGCAGTTTCCCCTTCACATGTAGCTCCCAGTCCTAGGCCAGAGGAAAAGTGACAAAGAGAGAAGAGAATTCACCAGCAAGTGGAGGAGCACCATGGGGGAGCTGAGGGGTGAGTGCAGAGCCACCAGAGGCAGGGAGCACAGGGCACCGAGCACCAGCCTGCCCCACACTCTTCCTCCTTCCAGCCCAGGCTCCTCGCCCTGCTCCACTGGGCCTCATCTCCTATCCCACACCTTCTCAGGCAGAAGCCCAGACTCACAAGACAAACCCCCAACTCCTCTCCCAGTCCTATATCAGCCCAACCCCATTCCACTCTCTCTCTTTTCCTCCACAGAAACTCCATCCATTTCTCCATCTTGTGTGTGTGTGGGGGGGGGGGGGGCAGTGTTGGTGGGCTCACAGCGAGTATGAAGCCTTACAATAGGCTTATGAGAGACAAACCCCTGCCCGTATCAGATTGGGTAGAGTGATAAGGATGCACTTAGATGATGTGACCCACTGCAGTGTGACCTCCACGAAGCAGAGACTTATACACCCTCCAAACCAGATGAGAGCTGGAGGCAGAGGGACCCAGGGCCTTAGAGGGTCAGCTTCTAGGAAGGGTCTGACCCACATCTGCATCTGTATCCTGCCACATCCTAGCTAGGGGGTTCCTGGGCAAGTCATCCTATCTCTCTAGGCCTCAGCTTCCTCATCTTCCTTACAAGAACAATCATAGCCTCACTGCTGGCACACAGAAAGGGTTTTATATTTGTAAGCCATTAGAATGATTAGTACTTTGCCATATTTTATGGCCTCATCATTATGTCTATTGGGAAAACATTTACTGTCGGGGATGTTTGCTTGAAGGGGCCAAAAGCATTTTGCTACTGCTGGGAAGGTCTCATGAGGCTTTTATTTCCATTTCACAGATGGGGAAGCTAAGGCGCTGGAGTTCCCACATGAGAACTGCTCTCTTGCTTTTTTCCCTTTCAGATTCAATCAGGAACCACAGCTTCTAGGCAGAGCCCAGAGGAGAATCCCTCACCCAGGAGCCAGGAACTCTTCTCTAAAAGCAGTATGGGGTCTCTAGACCCCACTTGGCTTCAACTTTCTCATTGGCATAATGTGGGTAATGATCTCTTATGTAAAGGCCTTGATTAGCTTCTGAAATTCCCTTTGGTTCTAATAACTACTAATAATTCTGACTCTTGGTGACCCTATGTATGTCAGAGTAGAATGTTCCAGAGGGTTTTCAATGGCTGGTTTTTCAGAAGCAGATCACCATATCTTTCTTTCAAGGAGCCTCTGGGTGGACTTGACCCACCAAAGTTTTGGTTACAAGCTGAGTGCATTAACCATACCACCCAGGGACTCCTTGATTCTAACACCTATGTTTCAGTCCAGGGTCCAGATGACAAAATGCCGTTACTCAATCCCCAAATGTAACAGTTCCTCACTAGTGAGCAGAGAGCTAAGGCTCTTGCTGTGGTTCTTAGATTGTCTTGGACGACTCACCTTCAAGTCAAACACCTTCTTGTCGCAGATGCTACAGGTATGTGGCAGGTGGAGGGGGGGCACGCCATGAAAGTCATTCAGTTCTTGTGCCTGCAGGGGCCGCACAGACAGAACCGCTGGCTCCTCCTTGGCCCGTCGCCGGGCACCGCTGAAACCCGGTTTGCTGTTGGTAAGCCGGCCCCCGAAGGAAGGTGGGGTCCTGTCTGAGGTGGGCTCCTCGGGGTCGTACAACTCATAGGGCTGACTGAGGGGCGGAGTCCATAAACTGGAGCCTGCTGTAAGATCAGGCTTGCTTTGGCCAGATAATCCGTGGGCGCTCTCCCACTGGCTGTTTGTGCCCTGCAGCAGTGGGCCCACTTCACCTTTCAAGCCCCCTGCCTGCTCAATCAAAAGTCCACCTGACAGATGCGAACCTTGGGCGCTGGGCCCGTAGAAGTCTTTTGGGAAAGCAGTTTGGCCATCTTGCCCTGTGTGGTTATAGTTCCCCTCATAGTTCACACTGCCCGAGGTAGAGGCCGAGGCTGCCAGGAAGTTGTGCTGACCGTCTGTCTCAGAGCCATATGCCTGGCCAGAGCTGGCTTTACCGTATTCGTAGAATCCTGCGGTAGCAGGAGCGGGCCCAGACTTGCCAATACCCAAGAGGACAGCTGGCTGGGCAGGGGTCTGTGGCATGACCCCGCTGAAAGGATGCATCACCATGGCACTGGGGGGCTGGCTGGGAAGGTTCATAGAAGGCGCTGGGCCTCGGGTCTGGCCGGGGGATGAGAAGGCAATTGTGTTCGAGGGAAATCGGGCACTGGGCATGGTGGCAGCATGTTGGGGCACCCCAGTATGGCTGTGGGGGGCGCTGATGACAGATGGATGCCTCAGCTGGTTAAACAGGGGTTGGGACATGGCCACTTTGGAGAGTACCTGGTTCAGGACTGTGGCAGCGGCAGTGTTGTTGGTGACAGCTGTCTGTGCCAACTTCAGCCGGTGGAGGGTAAGCTGCGCTTGCAGTTGAGCCAGCTGGAGACTGGCAGGAGATGGAAGCAGAGGGTTCGGGTTACTGACCGAAAATGGGTTCTTGTCCAGGAGTTTGGCGGCACTGTGGGAAGACAAGGGTCTAGATGCAAAGCTGTTTCTCATCGAGGGGGACAAGGGACTGTTTCTTTGCTTACATGTGACCCTCCCACTACATCCAAGTGCATCTATAAAAACCTACACTCACACATACACACAAAAGTTTAAAAATAATATATGACAACATGTTCAATCTCACTGGTAATCAAAGAAATACAAATTAGAATAATGAGAAACAAATTTGCTTACAAAAATAGCAAATATGCTTAACAATAATAATACAGCATTCTGTTAGTAAGAGACAATAGAAAAGATGTAATGTCAACAAGAGTCTAAATTCATCCAGTTTGGCATTATGTGCTCACTATACTCATATTCTTTGACCCAATAATTCAATTCTACAAATCTATCCCAAGACAATGAGCTAAAATGCAAAACTTCCTCCTGAAAGATCTTTAATGCTACATTTACTTCAGAGCCCAAAGTTGAAAATCACAAATATCCAGTAACAATGACTTTAAACTGAATAAATTATGATAGAGCTATGTAATGAATTGTTAAATAACCATTTACTATTAATATTTACATTTTAATTTATTATGCAGTATTTAAAGCTTTCAAAAAATATAAAGCATCAACAAATAAATCCTTGTGTACCCAACACCCGACCTCAGAGAGAAATCATTCCATTGCCCTAAAACCCCTCTTGCTACCTGGCTCCCGACATTGCCAATGGTACAGTCTTGGATTTGGTAAAATCAGTGTTTACAAAAATACTTATTCACAACATAAGAAAATCCATATGCTCTAATGTTAAGTGAAGAAGAATTAAAAAAAAGCAGACTTCAAAATTGCAAAATGACTTGTACACATATGTGTGCCAAACACATTTTCATCCTTGTCCTCATTTCAAACCCCAAAGCAGCAAGAATTCTACTCCCTTCTATCCAGCCCTTAGATCAACTCGTACAGACAGTACCAAAAAATATTACAAGTGAAGACTCTAAATGTGAGGTCTTCGGGGGCAGTGAGCTCTCCCAGAATCTTCGTACATGTGATCTTTGTTGGTTGGTCATGGTATTTTCTGGACCAGTAACAGGACACATAGTCTGGAAAGGGGGCAGCCTTCTCAGAAAGTCTGGGTCACCTGGTTACCACCATCAGAGCTTTTTGGTGAAACCATGTTCTCTGGGTCTTTCACTCCCTTCTGGGGAGTGGGTGCCATCAGGAAGTATGACTTGGATGCTGATGAGCTGGGATTCCTAGGTCATTTCATTGGGAAGATTGGGGCAGAATGTTTGAAACTGCCTATCTGTGAAAGGGCGGGGATCTACAAAGCTGGGATATTTTAGACAAGTTTTCCGTTGCCTCAGACTCTGCTCAGTGGCCACCCAACAGCCGTGAAACCCAGAGGAAAGAGGCTGGGGGGTGGGGGTGGGGGTACGGAAGAGCAAGAGACCCACACATGAAAAAAGTATGTGGCACTGCACACCTCTTTCGTTTCTAAGGAGCTTTGAGAAACAAGAGCTTCTGTTTCAACTGCAATCTTTATATTGGTCCGAATGCAGTGGGAATCAGGAGGAGATAGGGGGTAGGTGGTGCTCCATGCTACTGTGTGCTCCATGATTAAACTATGCTATCTCGTTTGATCTCTCCATCCGTCCTCATGGGGGTAGATGATTTTCATGCCAGTTTTATAGGGCAAGAACCTAAATTCACCCAGCTTAGGTGCCCTGTTTACACTCACTCACTGTTGCTGAATACAAACCTGGGACCCAAACTGTACTTTGAAAAGAGGAGGATGGGCACAAAGTAGCTAAAATTTGCACTTCTCAGTCCTCCTCCAACCCTTCTTCACTGTTTTGTTGAAAGTGAATTCCCAGAAGCTCAGGCACACCCACATTCAAATACAAAATACATTTCAGAGCCAGGAGAAATGGCTTCGTGTTGGCCTTTCCCATCCGTGTGAAAAATCAAGAATTTACTATGTGTTGTTTAAAAACACACCATCTCCACCCAGTTAGCAAGCAGCCCTGCTGTGCTCCAGTGGCAGAGAGGGCTGGCTACTTTTTAAGACACGGGGAGTGGGGACGGTTAGGTGCTGATGGTCCAGGTAGTTACAGACCCTTTCTGCTCTAGGAAGTTGTGCTTGTTGCAGCCAAGTCTTGGAGGCCCCAGTGTGGCCCAGGCACAAATCATGGCAGCAGCAGAGTTTGGGAGAAAACGAAAAGAAGTGGAGGACGGTAAAGAGTCTGGTGATAGAATTCGATTTGTGTAGTATTAAGTAGCTGAGCTTCAGAAGTGCAATTAAGCTTCGGCTCAAAACTCTGTCCACACAGGGCCAACCAGGTTTGTCCACAATGGCAGTCTGTTCTGGCTAACAAGGCGATAATGAGGTGCCAGCTTGGTTTTCATGACCATAGTAAGACAAGGTTGGTTTTGTTTGACCCAGAGAAGTCAGCTGTATTTTCTAAAATTGTGTTCTGGGCTGGAGGGAGCTCTGGCTGGTGATTCCTTTGCCTCTGAAGTGACATGAGAGGAAGAGCAATCTTTCCAAGTAGGAAAGCCAACCCTCTGGACATTTCGAAGTCAGCCACGGGGAATCAGAGTCTTCAGCGTGCGGCCCAGGTTACAGGACTTTGCTGATTCAGGTTCAGAACGAAAACAGAAGACTGGCCAGATTTGCTTTTCTGACTTCAGCTATTCCTAGCAAATTCTTGTCGTCTCAACTCTAATTAACCTCAGATACAAGTGATTTCACATGAATCACCAGACCTGGATACCTCTTTTGAGCCAAAGACATTTAGATAAGAAAAAGACATACCGTCCTATATTAAGAAGAGAAAAGGTGTTAAAATTCTTGGCCTGCAAGAGTAATAACCTGAAATGTGTGTACAGAATGATCATATTTCTGAACTCTAAACTGGGGTACATGACCTGTCCATCTGATACCCCTGAGGGCTAGTACTGACGGTGTCTTCTTGTCTTCCCATTTACCTTGGTTTGTCACCATTACATCACTTAGCACATCCTGCCTGGTGTTAAAAATACTTGCTTATGTGCCCTTCTCCTCCACTTAGACAGAAACGCCACAAGGGGAGGGAGGATGTCTTGGAGATTTTCTGGCACGCTGTAGGCATTTAGTAACTGCCATGAACAGAATATGGTGGCTTTGAGGAGATGTGTGGATCTGTAGATAAAAAGCTCTTAAGCAATTCAAAAAGGAGAATCTGAGAACACTCCAAAAACAAATATACGCTGTTGTGTACAGCTAAACAGGCACACATGTACCAAGGTACCACCTAGGGAACTGCCTACTTACTATCCTCCATTCCACAGCAGGTATCCCAGCAAACGGTTCTCCCTATTCAACCCTGGGTTTTAATGTTGACTAGATCATCCTTGTGGCAAAATGAATAATGGCCCCTCCAAAGATGTTCACGTTTTAATTCCTGCAGCCTGTGAATGAATATGTTACCTATCAGGGTAGACAGGACTTTGCAGGCATGATTAAATTAATAATTTTGAGATGGAGAGATTATCCTGAATTCATGGTGTGGGCCCAATGTAATCCCAAGAGTCCTTCTAAGGAGGACAGCAGCAGAAGAATCAGAGTCAGGAGGGAGGAAGAGTTTGCTGCTGGCTTTGAAGACAGAGGAAGTGGTCCCCAGCCAAGGAAGGCAAGCAGTCTCTAAAAGTTAGATCAGGCAAGGAAACAGATTCTCCTCTAGAGCCTTCAGAAGAACCAGCTTTGCTGACACCTAAACTTAGCCCAGTGACTCTGATTTTGGACTTCTGACTTCCAGAACTTAAGGTAACAAAATCTGTTTTCGTAAAGCCACTAAATTTGTGTAATTTGTTACAGGAGCCACAGGAAACTAACACAAGCCTCTGGGACAATTCAATGCAAAAGCAACTTCCACACAGAGACGCAGTAGTGGGTGTGGGATGTTGATTGGATCTTGCTGGTATGAGTTCATCCTCCTGCGTTCTTGAGAGGCACACTTCATTCTGGACTCTCTGGGAACTTAGTCAAGAGCTAATCGGACATGAGTGAAAAAAACCAGAGATCCCTTCCTTTTTAATATCTGCTTAAAAAAAAAAAAATTAAACCCAGCTGCAACAATGACAACCTGGAATAACTTAGAATTGCAAGTGTTTGGTGGGTCAACTCAGTCACTTTGGTGGGCCATTATTCATTCTACCACAGGGCTCCTACTACCTGTTAACATAGAGAGAAAGTGACCTGCCCAAAGTCACATAAGCCACATGGTGGCAAAACACTAATTAGAACCTGAACCATAGATTTCAACCTCAACATAAAGGAAATAAAACCCCACACAACTGGACCAATAAGCAACATCATAGTAAATGGAAATAAAAAAATCAAGTTGTCAATGAATTCATATTACTTGGATCCATAATCAACGCCTATGGAAGCAGCCGTAAAGAAATCAAAGGACGTATTGCATTAGGCAAGTCTGCACACAAGACCACTTTAAAGTGTTGAAGAGCAAAGATGTCACTTTGAGGAGGAAGGTGTAGCTGACCCAAGCCATGCATGGTATCACCTGATAAACAGGCAAATGCTGGACAATGAACAAGAAGACCAAAGAAGAATTGATGCCTTTGAATTATAGTGGTAGTGAAGAATATTGAGTAATGACACAGACTGCCAGAGGAATGAACAAATCTGTCTTGGAAGAAGTACAGCCAGAATGCTCCTTTCAGGAACTAGCATGGTGAGACTTCATCTCTCATTCTTTGGACATGTTCTCAGGAGGGACCAGTCCCTGGAGAAGGACATCATGTTTGGTTAAGTAGAGGGTCAGCAAAAAAAAAAAAAGAAAGACCCTCAATGAGACAGATTGCCACAGTGGCTTCAACACTGGGTTTACACACAGCAACGATTGTGAGCTGATACAGGACTGGGCAGTGGTTCCTTTTGTTGGACACATCACAGGGTCACTATGAATCAGAAGCAACTCGACAACACCGAACAACAATAGATCCTCCAATCCAGCT